GAAGAAGTTATTGTTGTTGTCTCTGCATTCAAATCATCATCAACAATCTTTGAGATTCATAAAAAGATTGAAAGGTATGTGATTTTAGATTAATGTTAATGTATAGTTTTGGGTATTAGGAAACCCATTGCCTGATGTGTCGTTCTTATTATCATTTGGATTTTTTTTTTTTTTTATTTTTGAATTAATAACATTAAAATTAAGATGGATTGTTACTATAATAAAAGTGTTATGTATTTTGTTTTTGTCATTTTTTTTGATGTGTTTGACAGTTAAAATTCGTTGGTTATATTTTTGTGAAATATATGAGGTTACTATGTGAGGAGTTGAATAAATTTATCTCCTAATTTAAATATTTTGATGTTATTGATCGGTGTTGGGTGTCCTAATTCAAGCATTGATAGTGAGCTACAATTGAGAATTTTTTAAATTTTCAATTTTAGAATTGTATGTTTACTATAACCATTTGAAATTTGATAATACTGTGAATACAATATAGCCTTTGGATGAAATTATTCATGTTAGTGTTACTAATTTAATGTGTTATGTATTTACATGTGAACATTTTTTTGTTGTTTTATGCGTCGTTCAAGACATTCAAAAACTATAGTTTCAAAGTAACATGAAATATATCATGTTACTCTGTCTTAACATGAAAAATTGATTTCTTAATTTCAATGGATTGATATGCTTAAGTATTGTCGATGTTACTATGAAAATGATGTTACTGCACATGTGTTACTGATCACAACATTTGTTTAATGCACAATCCGTTGGTTACGAAAAGGAAAATATCACAAATTTCCTCAAAAAAATGTTCAAGTTACTTTTGAACACTGTTATTTACATTCCAAAAATTGTAACTTGGGGACTCAATGGATTTCCAATGGAAACAATTGTATAATGAAAAATATAATTACTGAATTAAAAGTCTATTATATAATTACATGTATAAATTTTTTGTTACTTTCTTCGTTGTTCAAGAAATTCAAATATCATTGGTTCAAGAGTACTTTGAACCTTTTTATGTTACTGTGTGATAACTGAAAAATTGAATTCATATTTTCAATGTATGCTTGTGCTTTGGGTACTGTGAATGGTACTGACAAATTGATATTACTATAGACATGTTACTGATCAACTCCATTTTTGATTTTTACTTTTAATGCACCATATGTTGTTTATGAAGAGTTTAGGGGTTGTTGTTTAATTTTAAATGTAAAAAAGGAACACAATGAATTTGCAATGGAATTTTGTATTGAAAAATGATGTTATTGAATTGTGTGTGTTTTGATGTTATTAACCTGATGTTACTATATTTACATCATGTAATTTGGTACAACTGTTAATGTTATTTTTGCACAAAATTTTTGAGAATTGGTTTATATTCATTATGTTTGGTATCATGTTACTATATTATGTATGCTACTATTGTGTATGTTACCATATGTTGTGTGTTACTATTTTGTATCATTATACTATATGTTTGTGTAAGATATTGATATTATAACTGTTCAATATATTCATATTGATATTACAACGTTGTGCTACAGGTTGATGACAATTACAGGAAATAGAAAAGAAATTAAAATCAGTACAACTTAATGCTCTACGAATACATATGGTGACTAAATTCATAAACCATAGGAATGCATGGACTGTTGAAGACTACAAGACAAGATCAAGATTGAAAAAAATATACCAAAAAAATAAAAATTGGTGATGTTGTAAAGCTATTCATTCTTTAGCTACTTGTAAGCTCGATTAGAAATTGGTTGTAATTGTTTACTAATTGGTACTTAGTTTAAATGGAGTATTCAAACATGTAGAATTGTGGTTTGGATGTTACACCTTGATATTAAATTGATATCTTGATGTAAGTTTGGGAATTTGTTTGTAATGGAATGTTTGAAAAACAAAGGAAATTTTGTCCAATTTGTAAGTGCAACAGTAACTCAAACAGTAGCATGTTAAAAAATGTTCAAACTAACATAACCATTCAATTTTAGAATGCTAAAATTGTGTTGTGTGTGAAATTGATATGTTAAAATCCTTTGTAATTATTCATTATCAAGTGAATTTGTAATATTGTTGCACGATTGATTACTGTATGTAATGATCATTATATAGTAACCTTGACAGTAACATCATTAGTAACACAGAGTCTCGTAACTGTTTCTATCACCTTCAAACCCCCTGCCAAACACAAAACTTGTTATTCAAAAGTATAACATACTAAAATTGATTAAGAATTCAAATTCGAATTTGAATTAATAAGGAAAACTTGTGATCTGAATTAATTCATCAATTAAATTTCTATAAATAGCTAGCAAAGTATATACATTTCATATATTCTTCATTTAATTATTAGGATTTTGAATGAAAAATGATTTCTATATATAACTCAAATTAAGGTTTTTATATATACTTTAAAGATCTAACCTATTAAACTTTCTATAATTAGACAAAACTAACATCTTTAGAGATAATATTAAGATTTAAAAAAAAAATGGACTTAAGTATCTACATATAAGTTTTAACACAGACTTAGACTCCAATAAGTTTCCTTACTAGACTTATTTACAAACAAGTTCACATAGAAGGACTGGCCTCCAAATTTCCCAAAAATCTAATATGTAAAACCACTGTCCAATTTTGGCTTGGCCTATACTAGGAAAAGACCCATGTGAGGGATTCGTGTACACTATCCGACGGTCCAAATGCCGGTGGCAGCCACATTTTGATAGAAAGTCTTAACTTTTTTTTTATTCAATGGTCGGAATGTCCAAACTAACTTATGCCAACATCGACTAATCACCTTCTTGATCCGATCAAAAATAAGATATCGACATCTGATCCTAAGAAATTATAAAAATTTAAATTCAAAACATCTAAATTTATAATTTTTTTCAATTACTATTTAAGCTAAGCTAGCTGGAGTTGAAAGAGTCTTACTTGTCCAACTTTTTAGTTGGCAAATGCAAGAGTTTTGAAGACACGTTTTGTAAAAGATATCATCCTTTCTAAGAAGGGTCAATTTCGTAACCAATTCGTATTTCATTCGTTTGACTCTTATGCCGAGTGAAAAAAATATATGAAGCTCCTGCCAATGTGTAGATAAGTATTTTTGGATAATTATTTTTAATTTTTCTTATTCGTATTATTTTTTCCTATTATTATAGCGTGTATAAATAATGCACACACATATATCAATATTTGAAAATAGTAATCAAACATTTTTCTAGTTTTTTTGACAATTATATTTCACTCAAAAATTATATATATTTAAAAAAATATCAATATTAAGCAATACAATAACATCCACACCCATTTTTAATCAAAATCATTCAGAATGCTGCATCAGGTTGGTTGTAATCCTCTGAAGTCTGAACCATAAGGTAGACGAACTAACTACAAGTAATGCTCTGAAAACACTAATTATTCCTGTCCAAGAGCTACCGACAAGGCTGAGACTCAGAGGACAAGTTACGTAGCACCTAACTCTAACCGGCTTAAACAAAGACACAAGCAATGAAAAGCTCATTAGAGTCCAGGCCATACTGATTTGTAGTGGTACTTTTCTTGTAGGCCTGGCAAACAATAGTGCTTAATGCCTAACCTATCAGGAAAAAATCCAACTCCCCAAGAATAGATCTATGCAGAGACTGGAGAGCAACACAACTAACCTAGTTGGTACGAACAACTCTTCCAGGTTCATGACTTGGGTTCTAAATTTCACGAATCCAACGTCTCATAGCAACAACATGTGTGGGTAAGTGTAACAGTTGTTCTCAACCGTTGGGGACTTCCTGCGCATTGTTAAGGGGAGATCCTTGGGCTGACGGAGGAATATGCTCAACAAAGGACAGCGAATGTTAGCGTCATTCAATGCATATCATGAGCTTATCTTTATCCCTTTGTCCCACACAATGGGACTCCATTACCCCAAGTGGGTGGGTCAACATATTGAAGATGGGTTAGTAAAAATATCAATCAATATCGGTAATACAGCAGAATAATTAGGCACTGTTGAAGTCAGCAATAAGTGAGCGAAATGGCAATTGATGCAGCGTGTATTTTAGATGGACCAACTCATTATTTAGAATAATGTTATGCAACCTAAATTTGAGATCTCAAATAAGGACCATTAGATCAATGAGATCTATTTAAAAAAGTTGACAGAACTCACTCATCTAATAGCTCTCGTTCATTTGTGATGTTATTTGGAATTTAAATTTGAATTGTACAACATTTTTCTATTATTTAACTCAAAATATGTAGAAATTTTTAATTCTCGAGTAAGACTTGGTAGTATATGAAAAAAAAAGGGAAGAATCACTGTGAACCTCGAAAGATTTAAGTTTTTTCACTTTATATTCTCAGAGATGAGATTGTTTACATTTCATCCTCAATGTATTAAAAATGTTACAATGTGACATTTCTGTTGTTTATTCCGTCAAAACTCACCCCCATTTACGTTGACAAAAAGAGTAATAAAAACTAATGAAATGGCTACATTGCAATAATTTTAATACATTGAAGATGTAATGTAAAAAAATTAATTTTTGAGGGTATAAAATAAAAATTCTTAAATGTTTGAGGATGCAAAATAGAATTCAAAAAATGCTTTAGTTGCGAGCGACTACATGCATTGGGGATACAGTCTAAACTCGATCCAAATCAAGCCCATATTGTGGAGGACCCACCAAAAGATATTAATAAGATTTTTGTCATAAAGCGTGGCGCCGCCATCATAAAATCTTGAAAGAGAGAGGTGTCTAACAACAGCTGGCCTCTTGGTTAACAAGAAAATGACATTGCTAATTAACGTTTTTACAGATGGCCGACCATGTTCCACTTGTGTTTCCGACAGCAACATCATTCCATAGCAAATTGAAATCCTAGGGGATCAAAAAAACATGAATCAATCCTGCTAAATGAGGAACATTGCAAAGCTTAAACAAAATAAAATGTCACAATGTAAGTGTCCATATCAGTAGAAAGAAAGTCATCATCTTGGGCAAAAAAGTATTCTCCCGTGAAAACAAAATTCTGTACTTATTTAATGGCAAGACAATTGCAACAACAATTACTAAGAATTGAGCTTAGTGCTTCGACACTAGGAGATACACTCTCAAAGCTCCCGTTCACATCATGAGAGCTTCAATTATTACAGAATATTATATCAGTCGCCACAATTCTCAACACAGAAAACTTCAGCTGATTAAATGTATCTGAAACACATAACATCATATACTCTGTATTCAACAATCCACCCAAAAAGATAATATTCTCAAAGTAATAAAGGTGTGAATGCTTCAATTATAAATCACATCAGCTGATGCAAAAAGGAAGCCATATTAAAAATTAAGCATCATCATTGAGATAAGAGGTTGAATTTTTTAAGAGCCAAGACAAAATAGGTTCTTATCTTGTGGTCATCCATCAGCTTATAGTATATGATTTCCAAATGCCAACATGGTGTTGCAGGTTCACCGTTGCAACTGGGAATCCGGTTCAGTTGCAGTGTTCTACACGAAAGTATTTGCATGAAACTTGCCAGATAGTTCATGCAAATCATCTAACTTAAAGCATTGCAAGGCTAGGTTGGTGTTTTTCAGCAGAAAAATTGGCGAAGAGGGAGTTTTTGTGGGAGCACTGAAGTATGTCGAGTGAGATAAAAAAGGCATAAGAATTGATTAAATTTGCCTCAACCAAAAAGCATGAAAAAGGAGGCATCGCTTTCCCGAACCACCAAAATTCCCAGTTTATAAGTTAATAGAACTACCTGATGCTGCAAAAGAATAATAAATGCCCAAAACTGAGAATCTATTCAGTTGGCAGCTGCTTGGCAAGGCCTCGAAGGAAACGAGAGAGAGACCTCTTGGCTCCCATAAGTGCCACATCCACTTCTCCTTTGTTTTCCTCCGCATTGGCCCAACGCTCTTCAATATTGTGTACTTTCCGGACAAGTCCGCGCAATTCCTGTTAAGGAAACCAACATAAGATAAAACAAGAGAAGAGACATGCACACAAGTCATTATTTAAAAAGGATGCACTTAAACAGTGCATAAACTCACATTGTCACAAAGTGTAGCGGACCAGGCAACCTAGTATGACTGAAATCATTATATAATGTACAAATGAATTTAATGTACCAGACTGGTTAAATATCCCCATTGTGGACACAGCATCAGGTAGATTGGAAAACAAAGCTAAGACTAGCTTTGTTACATGGGGATATGTATCTATAACAGAACTGTGCAGCTTGTAATATTCAACATGGAGGTTTTCAGCTTCATTTTTCTTGTAGAAACCCATATATGCTTAACACATACACTAGAACGCGGTTGTCAACAAAATTTTGAGGAAGGCAAGTATACAGAGAAAGTATATTAGCAACAGCCATCAGACATAAATTGACTTACTGAAGCGCAATAACTCATGCAAAGGACTGAACTTGAGCCTATGCCAAGACACCAAGCCCATTAATCAAAGGTAACTGCTGAGATTGCGCCCATGATATGCTTAACACAAGATTTATGCCAATCTAATCATATATAGAGCAGAATAAAATTATTTTGTTGTATTGAGATAGATAACTTTCACTGCTCTGCATATTTTAAAACCCCCTCTTTCTGTCCTATATTGGCTGGGCTAAGCCGCATCAGCCCCAAAAAGTTGGCCAAAAGACCCTGCAAGCTTATGGGCAAGTGCAGGCATTTGTGTAGTATGCAATAGGAGTATTTTGATTACCCTGATCAATAGCTGAACCTGTCACCAATTATCCAGCCTAGGATTATTACAGGCGCCAAGTTGGATGACATTCATTACTTTGGTATCCTGAAACAACTATTTCTGGCCCCTTTTGGCTTGTTGGACCGAACCGCTTACCGTTGCACCAAAACCCGCAGGTGTTAGTGAAGGCATAACTTCTTTCTTTTGACTAATTCAGCAACAAGCGGCCAGGTGTCGGGTTGGTTAAACCCTTCACCAAGTCTCAGGTAGACTCACTGCACCTCTATCCAGGCCAACTTGACTGGCCTAAAGTAATATCAGGCCTATGAAGGTAACCAACTGATGCAAGCCTTCTTTCAGTATGAACAAGGAGAATTCTGGTCATCCTTATCACTAAGAGCTGAACCCAGCAGCAATTATCACGGGGAGGTATAGCTACTAGGGGCAATTCTTATGAGCTCACAATCAAGACCCCAAAAAATCACAAGTTGATAGTTCTGCAGTATACATTCAGGACAAAAATTGATATCATTATGAACTGAGTGAATATAAATCAGGTTCATGAATTGAGATGACACAGATAGAATTTGCAATCTGCAAGAATTGAGTGAACTAACCTGGCGATCAAACTCGACGTTATGAACTGAATAGACTTCATTGGTAATGTCATTGTCCTTCTTGATCAGACCATCAAACCATCTGGTAGCTAGAATATAATCATGAGACTCCTGCAAACAATGCTGAAGCAAGTAAGACGCCATGTGAACTTTGCTATTGTTTTATCATATCATAAACAAATAAACAATATGGTAAGGATATCCTTTCTCCTTTACTGCCAATCTCGGAACATCCTTCAGTACAACTGACACAACAAGTAGTGTCATGTTTGCTGAAAAGTTGTCGTGATATGATGAAAAAAAACTCAAAACTAGATCATTCAGGTTCTCAAAAATTCACTCCCCAATTCGAAATGGTGATATAGCTCTAAAACACAAGGGAGGTAATATGGAATCAAGAAACACCTACACATCTAGTCAGGTCTGCACACTCCCTAGGACAAAATCATTTTATTGTGCTTATACTTGACCTTGAGTTTTTGTAATTTATAGCTAAATTCCTTCATAACTATCGTGCAAAGCAAAGCAAGATAGTGGAAAGCTAAAACCATAGCCTACTCTAGTACCTTTTCATTTATTTTCCACTAAATACTCTATTCTTAGAAATTAACAAGAATGTTAGTCCACTACTTCAAGTTATGTCAATCACCAAAACAGGTCAAAGATTACCAACCACTATATCTTGTACAATTATCAATTGAAACCCAGAAATATGAACAAGAGTTTATATCATACCTCCTCTTCATCCTCATGTATAGTTTCTTCTTCCTCTTCTTCATCATCACTAACCCATGATGCTGAACCAGCTAAACCCTGGAACTTATTCATGTCACCATCTTTTGTTGCCTGAATTAAACCATCCATCAATTCAGGCTCCACTTCACGTAGCAGTCTTCCTAACAAGAATTTGGCCCACATAATGCACATAAAAAAAATTGTTAGAAATCTCATAACATCTTATTCCAAACTTAGAATGGAAACTCTCAGGCCATACATACAGGGATAAGAATCTCCCAAATTATGTACAAGTGACCATTAGTTTAATAAAGTTGTCAATCTAATTGTTTCTTCTTTGATGTGATACAGCAAAACATTTGAAGTCATTTGCTATGTAAATTAGTAAAGCATCCACCGTATAAACATTGGTCTGAGTGCTCAAATGGATTTTACTGAAGTTATCAACCTAAACCATTTCTTCTTTGAATGGAATACAGCAAAAACATTACAAGTCCTATGCTGTGCAAATTAGTATGTCATGCGACTGCAGGAACAAAGGCCTGAATGCACAAATACAGTATATGTGCGCCACCAACATTACCAATCCCATATAAAGGTAATATATTGCAACTAAACGGTCAACCCCAATGAATTCTAGAAAATTGAGGAAGAATTTTGCAGAATCTTGACACAAAGTGAGGCAAATGGGGGGTATTGTGAGTTGAAATGTTGAATAAAAAGCTTCTTCCATTCAAAATCTCTCATTTACAGTTCCAACACATTCACTGAGAGATTACTGTATACTCAAACACACAAGCACCAAAAATTTTGGAAAGTTTGTTTCAGAAATGAGTGTTGTTATCATAATCTTACGATTCCTGTACCTATATAACTAAACTGCCTTCTCTTTCCTTCTCGAACATCACGACCTAGTCTCTGCGACAAACAAACAAACAGCTTAACTTCACGAACCAAACAATTGTCCTTCCCCAACCCCGCCAAAAAAATAACTTTTGTGCAACAAAAAAAATATACAAGTATTACCTTCGCTAGCATCAGCGCATCGAATACTTCTTGCTCGAGTGACGCCACTCTGCACTCAAGAACAAACCAAAGTATCCATCAAACAAACAATGCAGCCATTTTCGAATGCTGATGTTCGTAGATTTCATGAAATATTCCAATTTTTTCACCAAAAGGGCACCTTTGGGCTACCTGAGAATACGCTTGATTTGAGGTGAAGAGAAATTAGCGAGCTCCATACCCCACCGGACGGCGCGATGAGCTTCCCGCTTTTTCTGGTTGCGGCTCTTCTTTGAATTGCCATCGGAGTCGCTGTCGCTCTCCGTGGAATAGGACGGTAACGGAGCGTTGGGTAACCTGAGACCGCGTGATCGGAAATGAACGTTCCGATGAGAAGAAGGGTATGGTATAAAGAGTAGAGGACGAGAGCTGTCGTTGGTGGAGAGTAGTGAGGGTGGGGGGAGGAGATGATGGAAAGTTGCACGAGACAAGCATTGGTAATGCCATCTCGGCCATTGCATTAGTGGCCTCACTACTTGAGCCACCATCCTCTCCGCGTCTATGCGCTCTCTGTCCGTTTGTTGTCTCTCTCTCTCTTAACAAGAAGGCAACCAAGGGTAGCTATGGGCTGGGCCGGGTTAGGCCCATAAAAATAAAAATAAATTTTGATTTAATTTTATCAAATAATAACTTAATTTTTTCTTTAATTTATACAAATATAAATATATAATTTGAATAGGTTATTGGTATATTTAAATTTATTAAATATAATATATTGAATTCAAATTCAAATTATCCATAAAAATATTAATTTATATTTGTTTAATCGGATCCGAATTAAGATCCGATTCAATTATAGGTCCTAGATGTGGGCAGAACGCTCAACCCTTCAGCTAACGGCCCGTGTCTATCTATGTTTACAAAATGAACCTGAAAAATAGTAGCTGTTGGCAATTGTCCCAGCCCACTTGTTAATGGCCCGCCCTGAACTGATGATTGGTAAACGGGCCAGACTAGGATCTTTAGCCGAATACCCATTGTACTAACCCCAATAAAATCAGACTTTATTCCTTGAATTTTATTGAGTTGTCTTGAGTCGGGAAAAGTGGCCGGCCCGTGTACCAACATGGTATATGAGAGAGCCTCATTGAGCCCTAATCACACGTGCACATCTTCAAGCTAATGGGCTGTTATGTAACAGTCTGAACTTATTGATGGCCCGATGGACTATCAAAGGAAGAATTATTTTTTTTAAGGGAGGAAGAAGAGGATATAAACTCAATAAAATAAAATCTTCACGAAATAATAAATATTATTGAACTAAAAGTCCTTTGATATCTAAGGAAGAAATTCATTTCCTCTCTAGTACACTTTTACTTAATGGTTGATTCAACACGTCGTGGTGGCAGTGGCGACCCAAAAGGTGGAGGTACGAATATGCTATTTGTTTAATTTTTTTATTTTTTGACCCAAAACATTAATTGTATATCATTTCATCAAGTAGAGAAATTGGAATTATAGATAGTGAGGTGACACTGGCGTGGGATTAGGGTTGTTAAACAAGTAAAATTTGAACATTTTTTAAAACTCGTTTATATGTAAATAGTTAAACTAGTCAACTCGTTTATGTGTAATTTCAGTTCAATTTAGGCTCGAATTCAACTCGATTAAAACCCCAGGCTGTCCAAGTGTTTTGTTTGTGTCTCAATAAGCCCTGTCTTAAACAGAGGTCTCAGTCTGCTATTGGGATACTCCTGAGATGACAATATACACATAGTACAGGAGATGATTTCATCAAACACACATACTTTGAAAGGCGACATCAAGAGAATGCTCTGTTATCATACTCTAATGCTCTGTTTCCTCTATTTGATTCCCATTGAAGTCTCATGTAGCCAACACCACAATGAGCAGAGCATGCTCTGTTTTCTCTTATCTTACCTTTCATTCAGGCCTATTTTTTGGAACTTGATTTATTCAGACATTCAATTTTTGCCTTTTTATTCATAGTCAACTTACAACGATAGGTTTTCTTTCGTTTTTTTTTTTTGGTTGAAGACCTTCTTCCCCCTGATTTACTCTAGAATCTAGATGACATTGGTATGATGGTGAGGCTGTTTTCAATTGGCTATCCTTTTGAAAAGGCCAGCTTCTGTACATGCAGAGAGAAGCTTGCCCAGCTAGCTGATTTAAGAGAGCAAGACTATATTATTGAGAAGTTATAGTCTTGTGATGATTAACTGAGTTAATTAACAATATCAAGTCATATTCCTAAGCATTGAAATCGCTTTGTTTTTTTGTTTTTCACTCCTGAGTGTCCCAGGTTTGTAATGACTTCTATCCCAGCGGCTGACTATTGTTTACTATTTGTTATATACAAGAAAACAGCGTCCAATGAAATATGAATATTATAGATGGTTCGAATTTGAAACGAACTGTAAGTTGTTTATGTACAAGACTTTATAAAAGTAATATGAATCCCGATCTCTACCTAGTACTAACTCGCACCGAGTCACCGGTCAGGACTCCAGCAACGGTCAAAGCCTTGAATCTTAATTTGACTCCGAAAGTCACGTACACAATTATACATAGTCAGCTTCCCAGTTTCCACGCCAACGATTTGTTTGTACATTCTTTCACTTGCTCGATCCATAAAGTGTTCCTAAAAAATTAAGTCGACACTCCGCTAAAAACACTGGTCCGTCTCCCAATTCCGGCAAGTATACCCGGAAAATCCAGAAGCCGAATAAGACATCGCAGACGTAGAACTCACCGGCCGTTGTCGCTTGAACAACGTCCGATCGCAAACGGCGCGTTTCTCGGGATCAGAGAGAGTGGCATAGGCAGTGTGAATCTTCATGAACTCATCGGCTGACGTGTCCTTCAAACCGGTAGATGCGACGTCGGGATGTACGATTCTAGCCAATCTCCGATAAGCAGACTTGATCTCCTGACAAGTGGCGCCCATCTGGATCCCAAGAACTTCGTACGGCGATTTTTGTGAAGAAATGTGTGAGCTGGTCCTCTCGGCGGTGGTGGCGTAAGCGGCGGAGACGCGATTTGGGGATGGTCGGAATCTGGCGGAACACGGCGGCGATGTGTGGAAAATTTTTGGGCCTACGATGTTGGATGAGACTGAGTACGATGCGCAAACCATGATGTGTGTTTGGTAGTAGAAGTGTTATTGAGTTAAGGGTTTTATGCAGAGAAATGCGGAGTGGAGTGGAGTTGATATATAGATTGAGAGAGTGGGGAGGGATGGTTGAAGCATTGTGAAATACGTGTATGGATAAAGGTGGGAAGATTCTATGGCTTATCTAGTTGTCCTGATGCTGACTCAGCATATTATCCTTTCTTCAATTTTTTCAATAGATTCGGGCGTAATGTTTTTAGGCTATTAAAGATACACTTTTTTTATAAGTAGGTCTAATATATATTTTTATTTATTTATTATGTCATCTACTGTACCATCCCCTCTCTCTCTCTCTCATGCAAAGCAGCTCCGGCGAGATTGGAATTTTTTCTCTCTCTCTAAGTCGAAGTTGAATTCACACATCTACTATAGGTCGTGCGACTTCAAATCTTTTTTTTCTTAATCTTCAAATTTGTACACAACTTCTACTTGGTGTATACTAAATTCATTGTGCGTGCAAGATCCTGCACAATATAAAAAACGAGAACAGATCTCTCTCTTGGTAAACTCGAGTGAGCCAGTTGAGTGACCAACCACGCTGCTTGGAACAGCCTGCAAGGTCCGGTGGTAACCTGGAACGGCAACGGGAGACCCTGGGGGAGCGGAAGAACGATCCAGTAAGGCTGAAAGAGGTTCCTGGAACAAAAAAGAACAAGTTAGAAGGGCGCCGGAGTGTTTTCTGGAATATCCCCTCCGACGATTTAGTCAGTCTTTGAGAAAGAGAGAGGAAGGAGAAAACACTGAGTGTGTATTGTAGTAAAGAGTTTTTTGTTGCATCCCCGTCTTGCCTTTTGCAAGGAGTATTTATACCTCAAAAGCTCATGATTGCTGTCAGTGTAGTCAGTAAGTGATCATTAGGTACAGGCAGTGTGCGCACTGATTCTGATGAGGAATGTCTTCTCTTCTTAACTGTTCGGGGTCCCGAGCAATCAATGCTGGGTCATCAGGATGCCGACGGTACAATGTACTCCTCTCGGGGAGGATGCAATAAATACTCTGTATTAGGAGCATTTATTGCCTTTCATTTCCGAGCCTTACCGCATTGAATGCGGTCTCATCAAGGGAATGGTGTAATTAATCGTTTGCTTTCCCAAGTCGCGTGTCAGCAACGGCATGCGGTTTCTCTGTCTTCGATGTGATATCATACGCCACGCGTCCATCCCCCATTAGTTGTAGCCTCTGCATTCCAGTACGTTCTGACACTAATTGTGTAAGACGAGGTCATAATGAATAGTCTAGACTAGCCTAGGCTAATGACCTGTACGTCAATAGCTTATCCTGGAGTAGAGGAAGCGTCCAAGACGGGGTACCTCTCGGCACCGAGGAAAGGCTCATCTCGGAACCGAGGGAGGTATACCGACCGAGGTACCATATCAGACCGATGTTACGTGTTGGTTGTAACTCGTACTGAAATGCCATGATCCTATATGACGAGTACCTCGGGAGCGAGGACCTTTATGCGCCGATAGTACTTGATCTTAGTAACAGTGTTTTGATAAATACCGAGAACACGTGTCTTCATCATAGAATATTTCAGAAAAGTCCCATCGTCCATCCCTATTCGTAGACGTCGGTGACAAAGTCGGTTTTTTAGATCTCTTTGGGCAGCGAAGGAAGACCAGTACTGTTTGTAGTTGTCTTGGACGTTCTCGGCTGAGATGGAAAGAGTGTTTGGGCCATGGGGTCATTTTCTATTGCTGCCTTTTTGCCTTTCTTATCCATTATTGCTTTTTCGTTTCTTTTTGTATTTTTGAATTCTTTCTTAGCCTGTTTTGGCTTTGTATCTTCTCGCGGGGCTATATATAAATTTTATATGTATTTAGTCGAATTTGTGCAAATTACAGTTGTTTTGTAATTGGGGTCGTGGTGTTACTGTTAAAAAATCGATATTTATATTTTAAAATTAGAAACTATGTTGAACTTTAATAGTTTTTCGTTACAATGTTCTAAATTGATATTTTTTAATTTATGTTATGCATGTTCGATTAAATGCATGAGTTAAGGTTTTTATTATTTTTTGTGCAAATATTTTATAGATCTCCATTTTTACTTGATTGTTTTGATATATTGATATTGGATTTTTTTTTATATGAATGCGAAAATTAATTATTTATTTTTTTGGTTCAAACTTATGAATCATTCTATTAGTAGTTGTGGTTGTTACTGTAATCATGTGATATATAGTTTATATTACTATCTAGTTTTGTTGAATTTTGATAATGATTGTGACTATTACTGTGATCGTATTACTGTCTAGTACACCACCACTATATCCTCCAATCTGGCCACTTTCTATAGTATTTTCATTTCTAGCCATCGTCCCTTACACTCTATTTACACAGATATTATTGTTACTTTGTCTTTGTTATCGTTACCATCTTGTTGTTACAGTCCTTAAACCCCATCCACACGAATATTATTGTTAATGTAATCGTGTTATTATAACAGTAACTGTTGTTACTGATAATGTATCGTTATTTTCTTGTTGTTACTATTATTATTTCGTTGTTATTGTTACCGTCTTATTATTGCTATCAATTGTGTAATATATCTATTTATTTAATTAAGGATAGTTATCGTCAAAGTCCCAGAAATAACGCGTCTGCCTTTCTTCTCATAAAAGTTCACAAGAAGTTCCAAAAAATCCAAGATTTCATCTAATAATTGTCATATTATAATAATAATTTTATTTATTTTATTTATTATTTTATAATTAATTAGTGACATCATTTTACATCCATGGTAAGATGTTCACCTTTTCGCCCAATATTTACTCTTTTTTGTTTTTTCGGAAGGTAATATTTACTCTTTTATTCACAATCAAAACTTACTGTATAATTGTCTTGATGCTGACTCAGCATATCATCCTTCTCGAGTAAAAAATATTAAGTGTAATTGTTAGACTATATTAGCATTGTAACATAGTATAATTAGTTATAAATAAATAAATCAGTAAGTGAGTCCCACCAAAACGCATAGCCACCCAACCATGTAATAAATATATAATCACCTTCATAAAAGAAAATGGACCCTATTTTATTCTTTTTTTTGGATGATTACACCTAATATTTACACCTTCTTGGCTATCAAAACTTTCGTATAATGCGTCTATACAGAAATGAATCTTTTACACAGTCACTTGTATGTATAATTGTAAATCATGCAAAATAATACAATCGAGAGATATTGTATACATAAACCTAAGTATGTCAATGGTATTAGGCGAAGTGAGTTTGTCTGGAGTCTTTGTGAGTTCATGTTGAAAAATACTTTAATCATATTTGATTCGTTTATTAATTCGTATTAATGAATCGTGTTATATCAAATTTATGTCGTGTATGAATTGTATATAACAAATACATAAACGAGTCGTGTCAGGTATTTTTTTATTAATTTCATTCGTATTTGATTAGTTTATTGATTTTGTATCCGATTTGTTTATTCATTTGTGCCGTTATAAAATGAACAGTTTAAAAAAAAATTTAATCTTTTAATATTATTTTAGGATAATAAATTGTACACGTTACATATACTTTATGTCACTTTATGTCAACATGACAACCTAATTTCTGGCCATGAGATGTCGGACGAATTTACCAAAATAAGGTCAATTTGTACAAAATTGCGTGCATCACCACGAAAAGGTCTTGGCTTTGTTGGCCATTTGCAGGCTGTCACTCGCAACTTGCGCTAGGCAGCTGCTTGATTAGCAGATAAAATGCATTGAATTTGCTCGCCTTCACAGCCTGGCTGCAATTTGGTCATCCCAATTAGGACTTTGGGCAAATACTAAATGCCCCACCTCTTGGATTAAGGCTCATGGAGTGGGGCCTTATCCATTGATTATTTTGTGTGTTTGTTTAGGCTTATCCATTGACTTCAAAAGCATGTTTTGTGTTTGGCATCAACTTTATTGGATGAATTCAATGTCTTTCCCAAAATAGGAGATGGCAAAATGATATTTGAACTTAATTGGAATAATTATTAAAGTTGGTGGTTTAGTGGTAAGTCGTACTTATTTAGGGTCATTTTTAACTCTCATATGGCTATTAAGTTTGATTTACGGGAGTAACGCGGTATACTGCTTGATTTTGATGGTATCATGGTAATGAACTATCCTTCCGAATTAATAGTTATGGTTCAAACCAAATATTTCACATTGAATAAGACTCACATGGTCACCTCTAAAGGGTTACTATCTACTGGCCGTCTCTTCCTCCCCCCCCTTTTTTTGTTAAAAAATAAAAAACTTAATTCGATTATTTGATATGGGACCCTAATTAATTATAATTGTTGGACTAAAAATGATCTTCATTAATATTAAAATTCACAATTAATTCAATGACTATATAAAATTAAATTCCTAATTATGTCCCTAAATTACAAAAACTGTAGCATTACTCATGTACATAATATTCAATTGTATGCAATATGACAATCATTATTGATGTGCATTATTATTAATTAATAATAAAATCTAAGTAAATTTCACTTAATTCAACAATCATCGATAACTATCACATTAGATTAGTGAAGCTTATTCGGTTTATATAGTGTAATTAATTAGTGATATTATGTGTTAACGACGATGTGATATTATTATTACTTTGAACATTATACTACTTTGATCTACGGAATCTGTCATGGCTAATTTCTAACTGGGTTCAATTCGAAATGTGCGGTTTTGAGGTTGAAGCCTAATACATTGCAAGCTGTAGACCCGCACGTTGAGTGGTTGTAAATGATTAGTTTAAAACAACATTTTTTTTAATGATATGGGCTGTCATGGGTGTGGTTTCGTGAGACTGGACCTGCATGTAGTGGCTCTAAGCCTCTACGTACAAATTGGGTGCTACTTTTTTTTTTAATCAAAAAAAAAAAATTGGGTCCTACTTCACTTGATGGGCTTTGCATCCTCATTTTCAACCTGGCTAAAACCCGGGCCTTCCCAAATCCTATTAATGATATGGGCTGTCATGGGTGTGGTTTCGTGAGACTGGGCCTGCATGTAGTGGCTCTGAGCCTCTACTTACAAATTGGGTCCTACTTGACTTATGGGCTTTGTATCCTCATTGTCAACTGGGCTAAAACCCGGGCTCTCCCCAATCCTCTTAATTTCAAATTTTGTTGGTTTTAATCAAATTTAATTATCAAGAGTTAAATCATTCGTAGATGTCAGTTTTTTTTTTTTTTTTTTGGGTAAATTGCACTTTGTACCTTGAAAGAATTTAAAATTTTTATTTTGTACTCTCAAAGATTAAAATATTTATATTGTACCTTCAATGCATAAAAAATGTTGTAATGTGACAATTTTATTGACTTTTTATTAGTTTTGTCGTCAATGTCAATGAGTTAACTTAAAAAAAATAAATAACAGAAGCTAATAAAAGAGTCTCATTAAAATACTTTTGATATATGAAGAAAACAATATAAAAAATTTAATCTATAATAGTATAAAATGAGAATCATAAAATCTTTCATCCTTCAAAGTGCAAAACCCTTCTTCCTTTTTTCCAATCAAATTTAGTTTTCAAGGGTTAAATTTATTCGTTCACGTTGGATGTCGGTGAATCGGGCCTGAACCTGTTTGCAGAGCCCAATAATTTTATGGATGGACAATAAAGCTTGAACAAAATTGACAGAATTTGAAAACAAAAGAACCCAAATTCGTTGGTAAGTAAAATACAAGAAAATATTGAATATAACAATCTCATCACGTTATCATTATCATGTGATATCACTATTTAAATAATAAATTAACATGTAAATAAGTAGATTCTACTTTATAATTACCCTATATATGTAAAAAAAATAATTACCCTATATATATAAAAAAAAGGAGATTTACTTTATCGATTTGTAAGTTTATTATTTAATTGTGCATCACGTGATAATGACGATGGTGTGATAGAGATATCACTACTCCCTATAAAATAGAGCATATCGAATTCATGGTGAAGCATGGGCGGCCCGACTCAAATTTGGCCTTAGGCAAAAATATTAAATGAAACCTCGTGACAATGTAATATAGATATGGCAAAATAATTATTCAAATATTAATATTATGTGTTTAAAATATTTTTCTTATTTTTGAGATGCAAAAATACAAGTTTTGCTTTGCATTCAATTTTTTTGTATATAATTCTATTAATTGAAGTTTAATTTGTAGACCAAAATATAATAAAGTCTGTTATCAAATAAAATTATAAAGAAAATGGATTAAAATTTATTAATATAGCAAAATAATTTTTCATATGATGAATGTTAGTAGGATTTNTTTTTTTTTTTTTTTTTGGGTAAATTGCACTTTGTACCTTGAAAGAATTTAAAATTTTTATTTTGTACTCTCAAAGATTAAAATATTTATATTGTACCTTCAATGCATAAAAAATGTTGTAATGTGACAATTTTATTGACTTTTTATTAGTTTTGTCGTCAATGTCAATGAGTTAACTTAAAAAAAATAAATAACAGAAGCTAATAAAAGAGTCTCATTAAAATACTTTTGATATATGAAGAAAACAATATAAAAAATTTAATCTATAATAGTATAAAATGAGAATCATAAAATCTTTCATCCTTCAAAGTGCAAAACCCTTCTTCCTTTTTTCCAATCAAATTTAGTTTTCAAGGGTTAAATTTATTCGTTCACGTTGGATGTCGGTGAATCGGGCCTGAACCTGTTTGCAGAGCCCAATAATTTTATGGATGGACAATAAAGCTTGAACAAAATTGACAGAATTTGAAAACAAAAGAACCCAAATTCGTTGGTAAGTAAAATACAAGAAAATATTGAATATAACAATCTCATCACGTTATCATTATCATGTGATATCACTATTTAAATAATAAATTAACATGTAAATAAGTAGATTCTACTTTATAATTACCCTATATATGTAAAAAAAATAATTACCCTATATATATAAAAAAAAGGAGATTTACTTTATCGATTTGTAAGTTTATTATTTAATTGTGCATCACGTGATAATGACGATGGTGTGATAGAGATATCACTACTCCCTATAAAATAGAGCATATCGAATTCATGGTGAAGCATGGGCGGCCCGACTCAAATTTGGCCTTAGGCAAAAATATTAAATGAAACCTCGTGACAATGTAATATAGATATGGCAAAATAATTATTCAAATATTAATATTATGTGTTTAAAATATTTTTCTTATTTTTGAGATGCAAAAATACAAGTTTTGCTTTGCATTCAATTTTTTTGTATATAATTCTATTAATTGAAGTTTAATTTGTAGACCAAAATATAATAAAGTCTGTTATCAAATAAAATTATAAAGAAAATGGATTAAAATTTATTAATATAGCAAAATAATTTTTCATATGATGAATGTTAGTAGGATTTTGAATAGTAACTATTGCATGTGTGTTTGTTATTATTGAAAAAAATAATAATAAAGTAAAACCTTCGATGAAGTTGCTTGTTTTTTGCTTTTTGCAAACGAAACTCTTCACCTATTTATAAGTATTTCGTCTTACCATAAATGATTATGATGCTGTCAAACGTTATATATATAGGGTGGCTCTAGAATTTTTTATGCAAATATTTAGTCTTTTAATCTATATTTATTTATACTATTTATAAATGTCAGTATTTGTAAAAAAAAATTAATTTTTAATTTTATCCTTAATTGTTATAATAAAGTCAATTATACCAACCAATATACTTTCATCTAATTTATATTTTTTATACTTATTTGACTTTCAACTTGTTTTGGACTCTTTTTTAAAGACTTAATTTCTTTTGCACTCAATTATTTATATCTATATGAAGAAGTAAAATCTAATATATGTTAAATTATTATACACATGTAGTTATTAGGTTGAATTCTATAATCCAATATATGTTATATTTTTATTTATTGACAAAATAAAAATTAATAATTCTATAATAATTAGATGTACAAATGCCTAAAGGGGTTGACAATATAATATAGATACGGAAAAATAATTATTCAAATATTAGTATTATGTGTTTAAAATATTTTTCTTATTTTTGAGATGCAAAAATACAAATTCTGTTTTGCATTCAAATTTTTTTGTATATAATTCCATTAATTGAAGTTTAGTTTATAGACCAAAATATAATAATGTTTGTTATCAATTAAAATTATAAAGAAAAAGGATTAAAATTTATTAATATAACAAAATAATTTTTCATAACTATTGCGTGTGTGTTTGTTATTATTGAAAAAAATAATAATAAAGTAAAAATTCCGACGAGATTGCTTGTTTTTTGGTTCTTGCAAATGAAACTCTTTATCTATTTATAAGTATTTCGTCTTACCATGAATGATTATGATATTGTCAAACTTTATACATTTATGGTGGCTTTAGAATTTTCTATGCAAATATTTAGTCTTTTAATCTATATTTATCTATACTATTTATAAATGTCAGCATTTGTAAAAAAAATTTGATTTTTAATTTTATCTTTAATTATTATAATAAAGTCAATTATACCAACCAATATACTTTCATCTAATTTATGTTTTTTACGTTTATTTAACTTTCAACTTGTTTTGGACTCTTTTATAAAGAGTTTTAATTTCTTTTGAACTCAATTATTTATCTCTATATGAAAAAGTAAAATCTAATATATGTTAAATTATTATACTCATGTAGTTATTAGGTTGAATTCTACGGTCCAATATATGTTATATTTTTATTTATTGACAGAATAAAAATTAATAATTCTATAATAATTAGATGTACAAATGCCTATATAAATAACAAATTAGGTACTCAAAAACTTATAAAATAAATTGATAATTAAATTTAATAATAATTAAAATACAAATTAATTATTGAGCACCTAATTTATTATTTAATTTAATTGCACATATAATTCATATTTTTTATAAAAATAATATTATTTAAATTTGTTCCCTTTTTAGGATGTCCTAGAATATTTCCTCAATGGGCCTAAAAATTAAAAAAAAACATATCCTAAAGTTGTTTGAAATTTTTAAGGAGACAAGACATTATAAAAGTCTAACTTAACGTAAAGTATTGTATATTGTGATAACTCATATTTTTAGTATTTACATAAACAATAAATAAAACTAAAAAAACAAAGATAATAAAATACCTGTTCCATTTATAATCTTGTATAATCGGATCTGTATTATATATAACTTGTATTTAGCAGATTTGTTTCGTGTTCAATTAGATTTATATTGACCCGTTTATTTGAGAGATCTACCAAATTTATTTGTTTATCATCTGTATTTACTAAAACTAAACCCAAGCTTGTTATTTTTGTATTAATTTCCTATTGAGTTTGCACTCCATACTTAAAATTATAGGCCCCAATTTTTTTTAAAGTGATTCTAAATTTTTTTTTGCCCCAAATATATGTATTAAACCTGTGCCTAGGGCCGGTGCTGTGGTGAAGTCCTCGTGACCAACCTGTAATCCCATTCATTGGACCGTCATTGGAGAGATTGAATTCGAAAGGTAAACTAACACAAAAAAAAAGTAAGTAGAAAAGGACTCTCCTTCTTCCTATTCATTCTCTATATATTGCTGTCATTGAATAAATTCTTCTGCCAACAAAAGTTGCAGAAGGACCACTAGGATTTTGTGGGTTCGAGTTTATTTCCTGCAGCACTGAAGACGACGAAGATGAGATATATCACAGCAGCTCTTCTTTGTTACCTCTCTTTATTTGTAGCGTTTGTCAATGGCGACTCTCCACACCTGAACTTCGATTGGACTGTTTCCTTGTCCCAACGTGCACCTTTTGGAGTTGACAAACAGGTCTTTCACTATTCTTCATGACAGTTTTTATACTACAGCTAACAAGTTGTGTGTGTGGTGTGTTTGTTTGCATGTGTGTGGTTGCATGTAAAATTGTAAAACTATAGTACAAACTTCGATATCATATTGAAATTTCCTAGTAAATAAGGGTGGGTCCGTTCCAAGCCACAAAAAAAAAGTTGGGATTCGATCAATTATGAACAACCTTCTTTCCTATATGTATATTTTTCTTGTTTGCGTTTACATATATTGTACTGCTAATTATGAGGGTTTATGTCGAAATCAGGTGATCGTGATCAATGATCAGTTTCCAGGGCCATTGTTGAACACAACCACAAACGACGTGGTGAATATTAATATTCATAACAACTTGACAGAGCCATTCTTGATGACATGGTAGTATCTTTTGACATATTATTATACGAACAAGCTGTAATTAGATTAGTAGTGAATTTCAAAGTTGGATGAAACTGTGTTTTTTTTTTTTTTGGGTAGGAATGGAGTGCAGATGAGGAAAAATTCATGGCAAGACGGAGTACAGGAAACAAACTGTCCAATCCTGCCAGGACAGAACTGGACATACAGTTTTCAGATGAAGGATCAGATCGGCAGTTTCTTTTACTTCCCTTCTCTTCTTCTTCAAAAGGCGGCGGGAGGATATGGCGCCATTCGGATCCACAACCGTGCCGTCATTGCTGTCCCATTCCCTCGTCCCCAGGAAGAATATGATGTACTGATCGGTGATTGGTACAATGCAGATCACCAGGTAAGCAGCATTAGTAGATTTGCCATTGTTGACATGGTTTAGTAAGTGCTATAGTTATTCCATTTATAGTTGGACTAGTATTGTAGGATTTGCTTGGGTTCATTATCTTGTTTGTGTTGTATACAACGGGATTCATGTTGATTATCTAATAAATAGGTGTGACAATTAAAATTATAATTTAAATTAGTAAAACTAAATTTATATTGAATAATTTCGTGTTGATTTTATATCAGATTGTTGGTACTAATAAGGCTTCCTTGATGGATTTGATATGTTGCAGGATTTGAGAGCCATACTTGACATGGGAGGCAACTTGCCTTTACCAGATGGAATTCTCATCAATGGGCTTGCACCCAATCAAGCAACTTTTGATTTTGAACCAGGTAAATTCTCTAATATGGTATCAATATTGGGTCTTAGGTGGTTGGTGGGTCAAGTCTCTCTCACCCGGTCCGTTGATAATATCAGCATGCAAACCTAATAACTTCACCCGTTTCTAATTAATTTTGGACCAAATGCTCTAATATATATGAGGTGGTTGGTGGGTTAAGTCTCTCTGACCCAGTTGACTCTTTTTTAGTTCAGTTTGTTAGCCAGCATGCAACTAAGATAGGAAATATATATGAGGTGGTTGGTGGGTCAAGTCTCTCTCACTCAGTTGAATTCTACAGTCCGTTGGTAATATCTAGCATGCAAATTTAAATCACATGTGAGGAAAGGTATACCCACGTCGAAAGTTTAAAAGCATACAAAGTTGATTTATATACTTGATGGATAACTCTAATCATTACTAATTAGTATTGGACTGAATGCTCTAACATATATGAAGTTACGACGATTGACTATGCGACACATTTTGTCAGGCTCAACATACAGGTTGAGAATATCAAATGTGGGATTGAAGACAACATTGAACTTCAGAATTCAAGACCATGTGATGCAGTTGGTGGAGACTGAAGGTTCTTACACCAAGAAAGAATACTACCCAAGCTTGGACATCCATGTCGGCCAATCTTACTCAGTCTTGGTCACTGCTAAAAACCAGACTGATGGCAAGGCCTATTACATGGTTGCCACTTCTCGGTTCATTCCTCTTGAGCTTTCTGGTGTTGGGGTCATACGATATTCTGGGTTCCAGGGCCACCCCCTGGATAATATGCCTCCTGGACCATCTATGTATGACTATGCTTTCTCTACAGAACAAGCCCAATCTATCAGGTAGACAAGTGTTGTGAGCCTTGTCACAAGCTCGAATAAACTCCGAACATTCTACTTTCTGTCTAACTGTATTATCGGTAACGCTTAATCATTCATTACTCCCCTGACTACTTAGATTTACCTGATTTTTTTCACTCTCTCTTTATCCAAGTGAAGTGTGTGCACGACCCCTAGTATATTCATTTTCTGTGTGTCTAAGATCCTTTCCCCCAAGAGAACTAGGAGGGGGAGGACCCTCACCTAGCTAACAGAGTTCATGATAACGTCAAAAGGCCTTCAATCTAGTAGTATACTTCTAGGTGTCCAGTCTTTGAAACCAAACCGCGGTTAAAAGCCCGTCAACTAGCTAGCGTACCATACCACTTAGAAAGATGGTGACGAAAGTTGTCACAAATCAACCGTACTTTCCTAATTCATTGGCAAAATTACAGGTGGGACTTAGCAGCAGGAGCAGCTAGGCCAAATCCACAAGGCTCTTTCCATTACGGAAGCATTAATGTCAGTCGCACACTTATTATTGAGAATGATGTTGCGGAAATTGGAGGCAAACTTCGGTACACTGTTAATGGGGTCTCATTTGTTCATCCTGACACACCATTGAAGCTAGCAGATTACTTCATGCTCAGTGATGTCTTTGAGACTGGTATTATTTCTGATACGCCCCAAAAGGATCTTCCTGGATTAGGCACTTCTGTTATTGATGCCCAATATCATGATTTCCTCCACATTATCTTCCAAAACCCTCTTCCCTCCTTGCAAACATGGCATGCTGATGGCTACAACCTCTTTGTTGTTGGGTATGGCGCGTTGTATTGAATATTTACTGACATTAGCCCTCTCCCTGTATTTACTGTGAGTTCTAATGAATGGGTTGAATCGTATTGCAGGATGGGATTAGGGGAGTGGAATGAGACCACAATGAAGACATACAACATGTTCGATGCTGTTTCACGTTCCACTGTCCAGGTTTGCATTACAGATATGAAAACACTTGAATTGTAGTGTTTATGAAATAGTGATCATGGGTTCATTTCCTGATGATGATTATGATTGAACAGGTTTATCCAGGGTCGTGGACGGCAATTATGGTAGAGTTGGACAATCATGGAATGTGGAATTTGAGATCACAGGATGCAGAGAAGTGGTACCTGGGGCAAGAATTCTACATAAGAGTGAAGGAGGTGGGACAAAACGACCCTTCAAAGGTTTCCCCCAGGGATGAAGCTCATATTCCTGAAAATGCCATTAAATGTGGAAGGCTCACTTCTTTGTGAATGCCATTATATGAGAACTCTGCCATTGAATATAGGATTAGTATAGGTTAGAATTTCATACATTATTTATATAGAATCAGTCCCTTTACATGGGAAATTACTTAGCAAATAGATAGGAGACATTGTCTCAGTAAGTTTATCAGAAGGTTGGTAGTCCAGCACCTTTCCTATCCCTACCGACATACAGCACCACCCCTTAGAGGGTTTCTTTAATATTATAGACACTCTTTAGTTAGTAGTATACTCTATTAAACTTTTAGATTTTTGATTGTTTCATGACTACATACCTATTCTCGAAATTGTCTTCCCTTCATTACGTTTTTTCTTAATGGCAAATTCAAGTTTATATAAATTAGAAAGGCCATCACCGGTACAAACAATTCAATAGTTACTGTTTAACCAATGATGAATTTCGCACCACCGAATGAATAGAAGAACTTTTTTAATACCCTATCAAACTATCATAGGGCAATCCAACTAAGCTATTCCAAAATAATTGCTCCAAACAACAGAATTTCAATATCATTATAATTTATATGATATGATATAATACCATACTTTAAGATATGTACAAGAGAACGAAAAAAGATAAAAAGCAGAATAATGAAGATTAAATAAAAAATGAATACCTAGGTTGAGATTTTATAATAATAATAAAAAAAAAAAAAAAAAAGTAGCTTAAAATGGTGTATCTAAACCATCCAGTACATCCAAAACATTAGCTTTCGGATGCTCCAACTCCCTGGTTGGAGAGCTCCCAGTGCTCCTACTTAGTGCACAAACCTTTGTCCCTCTCTTCTTGGCCATCACAAACTCTTGGCTTTTGCTTAATCCAGGAACCAACCTTCTTCGTTTCATGACCTCTTCCAACAACTTTCTATCTTCTGGAGACAATTGGACCATATGGGTTTTGGAATTATTGCTCGACATCTCGGAATACTGATTCAGGCCTTTGCGAGTTGGAGATCGACTAGGCAAAGCCCTGGTTCCATTATCTCTGTATCTTACTAGGCCAATAAGACGGTGAAGCCAAGTCACCAGTTCAAGGATGTACTGATCCATCTTCTGCTTGTCTGCATGATATAGTGTCTGGAGGCGAATTAGGTTATTTTGTACACCCGTCTTCTTGCCAAACTCAATACTGTCAAACAAATTCGATTGGTGTCAGATCTCACACGGGACTAGTGCACGCACAAAATAAACACTGACAAAAAAGAGTCCTTCACTAACCCGGTGTTTGCCCACTCTCCGACCCACCCAAAACCTTGATGTGATCTGTTTCCAATTGCCACAAGAAAAAAGAAAGATTGAAAATGTTAATGCAAGCTCATACTTACCGAATAAAAATATAATGACAGAAGTGATAGAAACATAAAAATCAGACGTCTAAATTTTAATTCAAAGAAAAACTGCAGCAAGGAAAGACAGAACATGAAGCCGCACACATTGCAATACAAACGGACTTGACTTACTTTGTAGTATCTGCAGCTACTGGAACAAGCCATTGAAGAGTTTTTTCCATCTCGGCTTTGATTTGAGGAATTGTGAACTGCAGCAAGCACAAGGTGAAGCTTCACTTATATCATGTACAGTATAATATAGGGAAGTCAACCAATGTGTTAGATGAAAAGAGAGAGGACGGTGGGGGATGGGAGGACAACTACATTTAAATTCCATGCGGAAGAAAGATAAAACAGATCGAAGCATTACAAGAATATACCCTAACACACATACACACACATACAAATATAAAAGAAAAAGAGCAGCATGACTAATTTTATTGTAGAGCCATACCTCTTCTTGGGAATCTGCTGTTTGCAATCGGGAACGTAGACCGATCTTCACACCGATTGGCAACCCATGATATAGTGTGTCCCTCATATTAGGAGGAAGGGAGGTAGGGCGCGAAGCCTAATATCAGATGGAATCCCATTAAAAATCAACACCAACTGGGTTGAACCATACCAACCCTAAGGCACTTCTAAAAGAAATGAAATATATACCAAGACTTACAATGTTATCTATCTGAGTAATTATGTTTGCGTAGTGTAATGCAAGACCAGCTGCACCAAGTCTTTCTGGTCTTTTGATAGGCTCTTTAGCAACAAATCTCCCTCCTGCCATTAATTGTGAGCAAAAATGAAAAGTCGGAAAAAGAATTATCTGAGATATACTTTTCAATATCAACAACTAGAATAAATTAATCATGATTTGAAATACTGGATACATGAAAATCACACCATGTCTCTTATAAACTAATGGCAGATAAGGTTGGGAAACGAATAGCAGATAAGCATACAACTGCAAGACAACCACATTGGTTTGATCAGATCTTGAGGCTAAGGATTTTAGTATTTTCATGGCGTGGACATTCATATAATGTTGCCCTGCTTATGAATTAGGTATCTTTCGATCTTTACACTTTCTAAAATCACCATTTTACCGACCACAATAAAGGATTAGGGCATCCTGGGAAATTCCAATATAGATTCCCACAAAGAAGGGAAGAAGGGATGGGGCATAATTTAAATCGTTGCAGCAAACGTGAAATATAGAGTAAATTCTGTATTCAACCAGTTGTTAGAAAAAAAAAGGATAATTCATAAGGAAACCCAAATATACTAGTTCTTGGGATATTACTGTGCACTAAGAGTGCATCAGAACAAAAAAAAATTGATTACACAAGATAACAAAGGGCATAGGAGCAAAAACAGCAAAGCAATAAGCAAGTGGTTTCCTAATTACATCTATGATCGTAATGCATGTAATGTCTTGCATTCATAAATGCATGCTTATGAATTTACACACCTAGAATGCACAACATTCTCTGAAAATGCGATAGAAAATATGTCAAGCATGTTATTCATACCATTATCTCCAAATGCCTCCAAAATTTCTTGATGTATGAAGGCAACAACATCGACAAGCTTCTCCACCACCTAAAATAGTAAATACAGGATAGGGAAAAAAGCAGATGTTTAAGTCAATGATTCCTATCCACATTGACTAGCTAATGTGTATAATTTTCTCCACAAGGAAACAAAGCAGACTATAATTGAAGCAAAATTGCTTCAAAGAATGACAGAAGCAATAGGAGAATCATTCCTTCAAGAGGTCCACCATATTTGGGGTTTCATCTTTGCACAAATTTATAATCAGTGGGTCCAATCAATTACCTCTTCCAAACTTTTTGACCAAAGAGATTTCTTTTTCAAGCTCCTCACAAGTTTTTTTTGATGTTTTAGCTCACTCAGTAATATATCTTGACTCTCCCCTACAATTACAAAAAAATGACATGTCAATTGAGATGATAAACCTTACAGTAGCAGATATTAGTGAAAGCAGTTTAAAAAAAGCAACATCATCTAGATATATTTAAAAAAGAAAAAAAGAAAATGTACATTCATTCATGCATGTCTCGTTTGGCTAAGAAGAAAAGTAAATGGAATTCATTTAAAAGAAAAGCAGGTAGCCATGAATATTTTGGGGGAGCATGAAAAACAAATTTTAGAATGGAAGGGACAGACAGAATGACAAACCACCATTGCTATTTTCAGTGACCACTGGATTCTTGTAAATAACACTCCTAAGTTTCCTATGCCTTCGAATGTTCACTCTAAAAATCAGTAAAGAGCCACATATCATCTGTGGGGCCTATGTTCCACAATCCACTCCACCCATTGTCTGAAGTTGGCCTTTCCCATAAATTTTAAAATCCCATCCCCCCCCCCCAAAAAAAAAAAAAAATTTCTAACATTATTTCTTTTTAACTCTTAATTGGTTCTCAGATTAGAACTTCTAGCTCCACCCCATCTGCAAAATTGGTACGAATTTGTTCTAACTGATTTCCTTGATGTAACTAATGCATATCACATCAGACCCCAAGCAACAAAATGTCGTACAAGCATCCGACATATGTACATAGGACAAGAAGGACCATTTTAAGCACATCAAATTTTTATTAAGTATCGGTTTGACAGCAATTACTGCAATAACATATTGTTCACTTGTTTACCAATGCTGGCATAAAGTGCAGGATTGTAGGACTATGCTATCAACTTTTATAAAAGTGCTCCATATCAAAGATAACTTTCAAAAGAGTGCTGTGCATCAAATTTCATATGTAAGAACTGCATTACAATTCTGTTGCTAGTTCATGCCTATATGTGGTTCATCAGGCGATTTACGAACATCGATTAGGTCAAAATAATAGAACAAATATCCATCTCAGAAACCAAAAACTACATTCAAGAATAGTTCCCTTTTTTCATAGGAGACGTATATTTTCAGGATCATTTCACTGAAATGAAAACATATTCATGTCTAACCTTTCCGAGGGAGATTTAAAGACTCCACTTCCTCCATCTTCCGTCGATAATCTTGGTTAAATCTGTCCAAAGCATGCAACTCATGATACAATTCCTACACATGCAGATTGAGGATACTGTCATCATGATATGTTTGACACCAACTAGAAGACTCTGAACACAAACAATGAGTGTATCTGTGAATTCATTATTAAAGGGCAAGAGGGGGGAGATATAGAAACAATAGAACCTTTCCCACTTATCAACTAACTTCAAATATGCAGAAACGTATAACATTTCTAGTACAACAATAAACTTACAGAAGTATGCTGAGCCAGAGTGGTCAATTCTTGCATTGTCATTTCTGCCTCTTGTTTATGGGTTATGGGGTCTGAGTCCAATCTGACATATAATAACAATGTCATGAAACATTATTTCCAACAAAATCAAACAGCAACAACTTGATTATTATAAATTATAAACCATCTTCTCACTTGGAAAAATATCGATCCAAGTTGTGCCATTGTGGATCTTTACATAGATCTCCAAACCTAATTACTTCCCGGGAGAATACGTCAAATTCCTCTCTACAAAATGCAGAAACATAATATGACTTCAACGTTTAATATTAGAAAAAAAAGGCTTAACCTATTCAACAAGAAGATAAAAAGTCCAAAGCAAGCACAGGATGTTTTCAGAGAGAAGCTGTTAACCTTTTATCAGCAGCAGCAATACTGAGTAACTCCTTCATGTCTCTTGAAACTAACTGCTGTACCCCCTCTGAATGTAAAATTTCCTTCTTAAGGAACTGGATATTTTCCTTGGAAAGAGACTGCAACAAATTGGCACCTTTGGCAATTGTATTAGCAACCTCAAATGCGAGAATAGATATCCTATTGCCTCTTGAAGCCATACCAGACCCAAATCCACTGCTGGAGTTCAAATTTGACATACTGCTTCCGAGCGTATCTAGAACTTCCACTGCCTTTTCTAGGCCTACAATACCAGCTTTTCCAAGAAATGAGCTCGCTTGAGGCACCTATCAATTTTCAAGAACAAGTTATGCTTTATTTATTAGCATTATATTGTCTAAGAACAAAAGATTCTAAACAAATTTCTAACTTTTAAATGGACATATACAGAGGTTATCATGGCAGATAACAGATGCCAAGGGAGGTAATATTTCCAGTAATTTGTTTAAGAACAAAAGCTTCTAAACAAATTTCCAACTTTTAGATGGACATATTCTGAGGTTATCATGCCAGATAACAGATGCCAAGGGAGGTAATATTTCCTGTAAAGTGTAAACCATCCCACTCTTGCAATCATAGAAATTGACAATAATAGATGCAAGTGCCATTGGCTAAATATTCCCGCCTGCGTAGACATATTCCATAAATAGTGAAGAGACTGCCTCCCCTGTCTACTATGAGCATTTCTGGCTGTAGGAAATCTTGTGCCTCTGAACTATGTTTTGAGCTGTCAGACAGAATAATTCATCACGGATGAAGAGAATTGAGACATCAGCCCTTGTCATTTTTACTTCTTGATTTGAGTTATAAGAAAATCTAGTTCTAAAATGGCATGTCTGCTTCAGAGAACTGAGCTTTTTTGTCTGTTTCAGATAACTGAGCTTTTTTCTCTATTTCAGATAACTGAGTTTTTTTATCTGTTTCAGATAACTGAGCTTTTTTGTCTGTTTCAGATAACCGAACTTTTCTGTTTTCAACCAGTCTCAGATAATCAAGCCTAAATCTATATCTTATAGTTTGCCCAATCGAATTTCAGACCATTTGATGTTAAATTGCAGATTTTTGTGCTTCATGTCAAGAAAACTCATTGCTCACAAAATATGACAGCAAAATTTGTGTTTAACCCTCCATGTCACTAGAACTCTTTCCATTTCGGATATCAGTACATACAAATGAAGCCATCCCTTGTGTCAGGTCTAGCAAACAATATTTTCAGCCAAGAAGGGCACAGACTCTTGTTCATGTATTTAGGTTCCCGAAATTTCTCTTAGATGTCCTCAAGTTGTCATAAATTGTAGCCATGGCCAATCATGGAGATCACACTGATTATACAAGTAGAAACTTTAAATAACTTGTGATATTCAGAAAGACCACAGAGCAGATAAACAAACTTGCAGCAGCAGTCCAAACACCTTAGACCAAATCCCATGTCTTCTTTTCAACATCCTCCCAGCTTTCTTTCTTTATGCTCTTTCCTCTAATACACTGCTACCTAATTCTTTTGCAATTGCTAGTAACAACTCCTCCAGGAAAGCTAGTATTATAATTCTCTGGTATCAACCTGATTACATGCTGAAATTGCTGATTGAAGCACATGTAGCTGAACCGAGAGCTTTTTATAGTGCACTTTTGCATATTACCAGAAACCAAAACTAAACAGTAAGTGCAACTACATTCTCTGCTTTAATAAATTATTACTTCTTATTTCCCAATCCACCGTCTCCAACTTGCCTTCCGCTATGAGTTGTTGTGATCATCATAGCTAGCAACTAAATACAAAAACAAGATTCATTTGCAATCGATCCATGCTGAAAGCCTCCTTTTCTTCTTGTTCTTGTGATCAAGGGGTGTAATTAGTGAGGGTCATCACGTATCAAATTCAGCAAACAATAAACAGAAAGTTATAGTAATCTATAAGAAGAGAGAAGACATACCTTCGTAGCCCCTGCCCTGGCTGGGGTTGATGGCTTCAATTCTCTGGAAATCGAGAATTGTAGCTCACCTGAGTCGTACAAATTTGTCGTCTTCTCAAACACATCCATATCGGGATAGGAATAAGAATAATCCTTCTGTTTTCCAAAACTACTCATGGATTTGAGCTTGCCTGAAAACCCTGAATTGTTATTGCGGATTTCTGGCTTTTGCTTCGTTATCCCACCCGAGCACACGCCTCCCATTTTGCTCCCTAACAATCCAACTTCAAACAGTAAACAAATTTACACCTGAAAAAGAATTGAAAAACCGGAATTCAAAACGGCTCCGCTTTCTAGCAGTGAGAAAAGAGTAAACAGAGCATGAATAAGGTTTCAAAATCTCAAATTTTCCCTTAATCATGAGTTCAGGAAGACATAAGAAGAAAGGAAAATCAAAGGGAAAGAAGAACAGGAATAAACAAATTCAACCTTAGTACCATTTCTCCAAACAAAAACGATAAATCCACTGAATTCAAAGATTCTTATTCATCTTTTCTCCACCATTTTCCCAGTAAAGGAAAATCAAAAGGAAAGAAGAACAGGAATAAAAAAATTCAACCTAATACAATAGTACCATTTCTCCATACAAAAACGATGAATCCACTGAATTCAAAGATTCTTAGTCATCTTTTATTCCACCATTTTCCCAGCAACCAAACGGAGTAAAAAGTAAATGTACCAAAAAAACACAAAAAAATAATATCAAAAAAAAATCCCTAGATGAAGAGAACCTTCTCATCATAGCAATGTCAAATATAAACCATAGAACACTAACATACCGATAGCCAATCCAAATTCAAAGCACAACAACGAAGAGAAGAACAATCAACCTCTAAAAACTACTGTTAAGATGAGAAATTTGAAGAAAGAATCAGATTTAATACACTCAAAGAGCTGATAAATCTTGAATTTGCTTCTTCAATAAAAAATAATAGTGTGATGTGATTCGTATACGTCTCGATTCAATGGAAACAGTAGTAAATACCGCGTTCTTTGAGCCCTCGCAAATCTCGCGCGTATTGGATTGGAAATTCAGTCGGATTGAGCGAAGATGAAGGAGAATGTCAAGTGCAAAAACCTGACCAGACTAAACGGGATGATGAGCTGAAACTCTTGACTATTCTCCGTCTCTCTCTCTCTCTCTCTCTCTCTCTCTCTCTCTCTAGTTTTCTGAGTATGAGGGCGGAAGGCTAAGAAGTCGTCCCGCCCACCGTCTGAGTTTTTGTTCGCTATTTGACGTCACTGTCAGTCTTCTAATGACCCACTTTACCTTTTTGCCCTTTGTGTTGTCGTAACGTAATTAGGCCTGCCCCATAAAAAAATTCTGAGTTGGTTTTGATCGCGTAGAATGTATCTTTGTCTTAGCAATTAAATAAATAAATATATACTATTTGTCTTTACCTTATTATATTCCCTTTTTTGTCATTTTCCTTTTGCTTTTGAAAAATTATTATACATCTTTGATTTTAATTTTGATTGAAAATGTGACGCTACATCTCATTGTATTAAAAAAAAAAATCACAACCACCAAAATACAGAATAAAATATATGATTACACAAATGCAATAATCTTTTATAAAATGACATTATAATAAGAAAAATGACTAATCTAATATCTATTCTAGAATCGCACAAATTTAGGACAAATAGTTTTTTTTTTAACGATTAAAAATGTTTGAGTTAGTTTACGCGTACCTCAACTAAATTTCTTTCTTGATTTTGTATAAGTCAAGTCATTCACTTCAGGATTAGGGTATTCACAAAAGATAAATCTCTCATCATCTGACCCTAAAGAGTTTATTAAGATTTAAATTTAGGACAACTAATTTTAAAAGTTTTATCCATGTTACCACTTGATTTACACTTAAAATTGACAAATATTTTCAAACAATTCAATAATAAATATTAGAGAAAATATGTCACCCAACAAAATAATAGTACCCTCCCCCCCCCCCCCCAAAAAAAAAAAAAA